CAAACACCATGTTCTCGTCAGTATCCATTCCCACCTCAGGTTTACATGCAGTGACTTAAATGTACTCAAACACCATGTTCTCGTCAGTATCCATTCCCACCTCAGGTTAACATGTAGTGACTTAAATGTACTCAAACATCATGTTCTCGTCAGTATCCATTCCCACCTCAGGTTAACATGTAGTGACTTAAATGTACTCAAACATCGTGTTCTCGTCAGTATCCATTCCCACCTCAGGTTAGCATGCAGTGACTTAAATGTACTCAAACATCATGTTCTCGTCAGTATCCATTCCCACCTCAGGTTAACATGCAGTGACTTAAATGTACTCAAACATCATGTTCTCGTCAGTATCCATTCCCACCTCAGGTTAACATGCAGTGACTTACAGGTACTCAAACACCATGGTTCTCGTCAGTATCCATTCCCACCTCAGGTTAACATGCAGTGACTTACAGGTACTCAAACACCATGGTTCTCGTCAGTATCCATTCCCACCTCAGGTTAACATGCAGTGACTTAAATGTACTCAAACATCATGTTCTCGTCAGTATCCATTCCCACCTCAGGTTAACATGCAGTGACTTACAGGTACTCAAACATCATGTTCTCGTCAGTATCCATTCCCACCTCAGGTTAACATGCAGTGACTTACAGGTACTCAAACACCATGTTCTCGTCAGTATCCATTCCCACCTCAGGTTAACATGTAGTGACTTACAGGTACTCAAACACCATGTTCTCGTGTCGTCTTCCTGCTTTTGTTGGATATGGACATAACTTTCTTTTCTATGTCGAAACTATTCTTAATAATACGTGATATATAATGTACATGACTTGATTCAGTACTATATACAACGAATCCACTTCATTTATTTATTGTTAAATCTAAAGCCTTTAGGTTAACTTTTTAATATTTGTGAAAAATATATCTCTATGTGCGAGCGAATATGTGTAGCCATGTTAGTTCATGTATGCACCGTTTTTGTTTGGTACTGAATATGTAGGTGTTTATGTATGTGTGACTTGTGAGCTGTGGCAGAATACTTTCAACAATAAACACAGGTATCTAAATATAATATGCAAACTTTATGGAGAAGTGTTCAAATTGGCTTTACCTGTCGACCAATCCCATTCAATTTGGAGAATAAATATGGTTTAAATAAAGAAAGAAATCCATAACATCAGATCAGTGGTTAGTTTAGCTCGGTCATGCTATCTTTGTGTCGCTTCATGTAGAGAGACAGCTACATGCCACAGAATCATAAATACCATCGTTAACTTCCTTGGACAATGACACTGATCATATGGTCTTGTCCTGTTTGGTGCTGTAAATGACGTGAATTATCTCCCTTTGATCGCAAATCATTAATGGGAAACCATAAACTGATAAGACGAAGGAGATATGCGTTGAATATATTTGTTTTAACTTCACCCGACGTTTTAACACTGTGACTATATTTATATATAATCATATAATCATTATATATAATCATTTAGCTGAACAACTTATCACTTCTGGTAAATGAATGAATAAAATACGTGGGTTGGCAATGTTGCACGCACTGTTTCGTGAGATGTCGTGAGCGAGTGTAACGTACGGATTCAGATTTGCGCGTCCCTGTAACTGTGTGTGCGCGTGTGCTCATGTATGTGTGTGTGCTCATGTGTGCTCATGCGTGCGTGCGTGCGTGCGTGCGTGTGTGTGTGTGTGTGTTCAGTATGTATCTAATGTCTAAAACTGTATTTATTCTCCATGTATTTTTCAGTCATGTTGATGAAAATGACATTTTCTTCGTGTGGCAGTTTCGAATGGCGCCTTGATATCAGCACAAAGGTAAGCATTAAACTGTAATATATGTGTAGGACAGCATGGGAATTTCAACTTTAATGAACACATTCTGTGTATAATTATCTATATTTATTCCTTCGAAATGTATATTTATACGTATGTTTACAGACTATGCATGTAACTATAATGTGGCTAATGTCAAGACAAGGGGACATTGCCCTTGGATGACGTATCACGCCATTGCATTGTGCAGCATGATTTCTGTGTCTGATTGTGTGGATGATAGATCTTAATGGATGATAGATATGATTATCGGGTAAAATTAAAGACTTTAACTGATAGTTACACCTGTTATTTATTGTGTAATTATGTGTTCCAGAGCTGCTTAATTTCCATACAAAAAAGGTTTTGCAAATAAAGATCTTTTAATCGGAGCGTGTGTTTGGTTACTATCTCGTAGGGATGGGAAAGCCACATTATCTTGCCTAGTATGATCCCCAGGGAGTTGAGATTGAGAATACGATGTGTCGTTGAGATTGCCATCCTATGATCGAGGGAAAACAAAAAGTGCCTGTGAGCAGCCAAGCTGGAACTCCGCGCTATGTTTTATAATAATGACAATGATCTGGGAAAAAAGCTGCTACAGGACGGGAACTTGAAAACTGCCTGCTCGTGGAACATATTCAGAAGCCATAGATGAATCCAGTATATAAGATATTGATGTGCATCTGTATTTAATAGACGTGTATTGAAACTCCATGTCTGCCGTGATGTTGGGCCTTCAGCATTGGTATCATCACTTGTCAGTTAGTTTTAAATGACAATGCTAAAGCTGATTACATTACAGTCGTGACGACAAGGACCGACACTCGCTTCGATTTGGTGACGCATTAATTTACTACTTTACATTATGACTTGGTGAGTAACACAGTATACGTAACATTCATATTCCCGCATTCTCTACACAGCCACAACATTTTAACAGCGTTGTCAACGTCTCAGGATCAACAGTAACAGAGTAATGGTTACCTCATAGCTGGCGGTACTACATATCCAGCAGTACCAACACTGTGCTTGGCATACTTACCGGACACATTGTCAGTGTTCACGTTCAGGTGTACCATGCCCAGGCTTGCACGTGTATACACAATACGTACAACCTGTCACCTGTCCTGTGTTAGACCGTCGGGGGAGTTTGTCCTGGGACAGAGTTGGGCGCTACAGGTACGTAATTCACAACTTAGTCGTATATGAAGTCCTGTGTTGTATTGATACTCGTATTTCTTGTGAATGTTCCATGTTGTCCTCTATGTCTGTTGTTAGCATGGAACGATGAAACACATGGTGGCATGCTTGACGTGTTAAGGCAGGGTTGACGTGTTAAGGCAGGATTGACGTGTTAAGGCATGCTTGACGTGTTAAGGCAGGGTTGACGTGTTAAGGCAGGGTTGACGTGTTAAGGCATGCTTGACGTGTTAAGGCAGGGTTGACGTGTTAAGGCATGCTTGACTTGTTAAGGCAGGGTTGACGTGTTTAGGCAGGGTTGACGTGTTAAGGCATGCTTGACGTGTTAAGGCAGGGTTGACGTGTTAAGGCAGGGTTGACTTGTTAAGGCAGGGTTGACGTGTTAAGGCATGGTTGACGTGTTAAGGCTTGCTTGACGGTGTTAACGGGTCAGTGTTAAGGCAGGGTTGACGTGTTAAGGCATGGTTGACGTGTTAAGGCAGGGCAGGGTTGACTTGTTAAGGCATGCTTGACGTGTTAAGGCAGGGTTGACGTGTTAAGGCAGGATTGACGTGTTAAGGCAGGGTTGACGTGTTAAGGCATGGTTGACGTGTTAAGGCAGGGTTGACGTGTTAAGGCATGCTTGACGTGTTAAGGCAGGGTTGACGTGTTAAGGTAGGATTGACGTGTTAAGGCAGGGTTTGGCATATCATTCTGTTCCAGGTCACCGTGATAAATTATTCCAATATGACCTTGATCGTTTCAAGGTCAGAACTGAATCCAGCTGATTGTTTGTGTCAATGCCTACAACATGGACAGAAGATTGCGGTGACATAAATGCCTACTGGCTGACTGTCAATATGCTCCCCCGATATTGTTGGTGTGATCAGGCCTGACGGACACCGTGACGTCATATCGCAATGGCGTGGGTCGTGTTTTTGTCCCCGCATTGTCCGCTCCAGAGCCGAGTGTTTACAGGAAACAGTAGTTTGGCAGGGGCGTTGGAGGAGGCAGTGTTGACCCACCGGGTCTTACTTTTTATAATTAAATGTATTACCGGCAGAGTAGGGCATGTATATGGGTAAACTAATATCCCAAATATAATGCATCTTTCCAGGTTTTGAAAATACTGTATCACCATCACCTGCAGGGTTGCCAACATGGACGTGCTGGTAGATCTATATCAATAATGCAGTCTGATTTACTTGGGGACAGGCCGTCAGTTTTGTATGACATGAGGCATCAATGTATTTTAAAGTCAGGAGTTTATACGAAGTGAAGTACCTATTTTAGAACATTTTCAACAATGACAATTTTGAAAATAACTTTGTGGTCTCACATCTCCGACACCAACATATCTAGAAATGGTCCCAGTCGGCTGAAAGTCAACTGCTTAACATCCTTTGTCAAACAATGATTGTACATTCGTAGAAATGATTCGCTTTAAATTTCTTTTTGATTCAGTTTTAGTGCACTACAAGCATCGTTCATCTTTGTGAGTCTGGCTGCAGACAGAAGGACTAATGCAGATACGACATCGTGATGGAGAATCCTGGCAGACTTGAAGGTATGGTCACCATCGACTCTAAGCAAGGTGATGTCAGCTCACATATCATTGAATTTGTCAAATTATAATGTCACTAATATCAAGAGTTGCATATCAGAAAAAACTCAACTTGTAAGTGTCTGTCTTAGCTGTTGTCAGCTGAGCTACAGCTTGGTTTTAGGCAAAACAGTCATGCATGGTTTGAACATATATTTGATGTTGCAGAGACAACAGACAGCGCTCCCTCTCCTCCTCCATCTTCGGAAGGTGAAGGTCACATCAATGTCGATCATGTCCCTCCTCCACCACGCGAGGCGAGTTCTGACAGTGACCTCCACGTCGCCTGTAAAAAGAGGCAAGTTGCAACAAGTCCAACACCTGGTGTCCAGTGCTCAAACTGACGTGAACGCTGAAGGGCGGGTCGGCAGGACACCGGTGATGCTAGCAGCCAGGTGTGGACATGACGAGGTGTTCCACTTCCTTGTTACAAACGGAAGTGACGTAACTCGCTTGAGCAATGATGATGACAACATTCTCCACTTCGCCTGTTTGGGAGGTAATATAGAGATAGTGAAATACATCCTCTCACAAGACTTTATAGATATAGATAGTCGAGGAAAGTTCGGACGAACACCAGTCATGAAAGCGGCATGGGGTGGACATGTTAATCTGTTTGACCTCCTGGAAAGGGTTGGAGCGGATCTATCTCTAGTGAGCGAACAAGGCGACACAATCTTACACCTGGCCTGTCACAGAGACAATGTGCCTATGGTCAAGCACATCCTGTCTAAGCACATTGTCGGCGTCAACTGCCGGGGAATGAATGGGCGGACACCTGTGATGATTGCGGCGATGTATGGACACAGGGGCGTGTTAAAAGTACTTGTTGATAATGGTGGTGATGTATCACTTGTGGACTCTAATGGTGAAAACGTCCTCCATGCGGCGTGTCGGGGTGGAAGTAACAACATGGTGCTCCATTTTCTCTCTAAACGCATCGCCCGTATCAACAGTAAATCAGGCAACGGACAGACGCCATTGATGCTTGCAGCTGAGGGAGGTCACAGAGGTGTGTTCGACTTGCTGGTCAGTAAAGGAGCTGACTTGTCGCTAAAAGACACTAGCAGCAATAACATACTTCACATGACGTGTCGTGGTGGATGTGTGGAGATTGTCCGGGTGTCATCTCCGACAACATTGCTGGAATCACAAGTACAGGAAACAATGGACGCACGCCGCTGATGTTTGCAGCAGAGAGGGGTCACACAACAGTAATTGGTGTACTTAAACAGCATGGGTGTGATTTGTCTGTGACTGATGCCGATCGCAACAACCTCCTCCACATAGCCTGTCTTGGAGGCCATGATGAGACGGTGCTGCACGTCCTCAATCTGGATCTGTTTGACATCAACTGTCGGGGGAAGGGGAGACGGACGCCACTCATGGTGGCAGCTTTAGCGGGAAACAGACAAGTGTTTGATGTCCTCGTACGTAAAGGCGGTGACCCATCCTTGGTGGACGATGACGGTAACAACATCCTACACATCGCTTCCTTGGGACATGATGTAGAAACGGTGAAATATGTCCTCTCACTGAGTAATGCTGACATCAACAGCAGAGGCAGGTACGGGAGGACTGCGGTGATGCTGGCTGCCGAGTCTGGACATCGAGATGTGTTTTACTTTCTTGTCTGTAGAGGAAGTGACCTGGAATGTGTTGACGACAACGGCGACAGCATCCTTCATCTTGCCTGTATTGGAGGACACGTGACGATGGTGGAGTGCATCATATCTCTGGACATCGTAGACATCAACAGTGGAGGTCAGTACGGGGGAACGCCGCTGATTGCAGCAGCTGAGGGGGGACACAGAGACGTGCTGGACTTGCTCATCAGTAAAGGTGGTGACGTGTCTCTGGTGGATGACTACAACAACAACATCCTCCATGTGGTGTGTATCGGCGGCAACACCGACATTGTTAAGTATGTCCTGTCCAAGCATGTCGTGGACATCAACAGCAGGGGCGAGTACGGCCGAACCCCTGTCATGATCGCCGCTCGCTGGGGCCATAAAGGAGTGTTTGACCTGCTGGTCAGCACAGGCGGTGATGTGGCACTGGTCAGTGACCACGGGGACAACATCCTCCATGTGGCTTGCTATGGAGGTCACGTGGACATAGTGAAGCTGATCCTGTACAAATACCATGTAAACCTGGACACCAGGAACCAGTACGGGCGGACGGCAGTGATGGTCGCGGCACGCATGGGTTATGTGAGCGTGGTGGATCTTCTGATCAGACGGGGAGCCGATGTGTCTGTCGTCAATGACGAAGGCGATAACCTGCTGCACGTTGCCTGCAGCGGCGGCCACCTGGAGATGGTGGAGTACGTGGTCCTGCGCGACTTGGTCGACATCAACTGTACAGAACTCCTGGGAATGACACCGCTCATGTTGGCAGCAAAGCATGGACACATTAAGGTGTTTGACCTTCTCGTCAGTGAAGAATGTGACGTGTCTGTGTTGACAGTGAATGGGGACAACGTCCTCCATGTTGCGTGCAGTGGAGGGAATGAGAGGATGGTGAATCACATCATCCAGATGGACATGGTCGACGTGGCGGCGAGAAACCACTTCGGGTCTACAGCTGCCATGGTAGCCAGAGAACAGGGTTTTCAGTCTCTCTCCGACAGCATGTCCACGTGATGCTGGTCATCTCTGTCCACTCTGTCCCAGCTGGACACCCACCCATATGATGAGATGTACAGATCCCTCGAAAATAGTTCTATATAGTATCAAAACTGCAAATATTTCGATTTCGTTGTCCTTTTATGTTTCCTGTTTTAATAGCTGTGCTTTTATTCTGTAAAACAAGTTTATGATTAGTAAAATGAAATCACATAACGAGAATGGTGTTTTTGTCCCTAAACCCAACCTTGATCCTGATACTACAGACGTATACACGCTTGCTGTGTGACTGAGTGTGATGCGTGTATTGTATATAACTGGCAGACCATGAACGGAGTGTGCCTGTTTAATAAATGGACAATATGTGTGTCACCGCTGACAGAATGCATACCTTGTGTTGTCATGATCCACTTGTGCATGTATGCATGTCCATAGCCGGGATCACTGCACGTGTTGATACTGTGCTGACGGAGTGTGGCATTCACCAGCCGTTATGTAGTTGTCAGCTCAGGGGACTAAAATACTTGAACCTTTTCAAACATTTCAATGTGAGTTAGAAAGCCTTTATGACACTACAGAAACTTAATGCTCGATAAAGTGAGACTCTGTAAGGAAACCGTATTATCGATTGGGAATGTCAGATAATGGATCTATACAACGGTCCGCGCACAGTTGTGAATGGCCGGCACAGGGCTTAACAAACACACGTATACACACACTCTCTCACACGTATACACCCTCCCCAATACGTACACACACACTTTCTCTCGCACGTACATACAGTCTCTATCACACGTATACACACACTCTCTCACACGTATACACCCTTCCCCATACGTACACACACACTTTCTCTCGCACGTACATACAGTCTCTATCACACGTATACACACACTCTCTCACACGTATACACCCTCCCCAATGCGTACACACACTTTCTCTCGCACGCACATACAGTCTCTATCACACGTATACACACACTCTCTCACGTATACACCCTTCCCCATACGTACACACACACTTTCTCTCGCACGTACATACAGTCTCTATCACCCGTATACACACACTCTCTCACACGTATACACCCTCCCCAATACGTACACACACACTCTCTCTCGCACGTACATACAGTCTCTATCACACGTATACACACACTCTCTCACACGTATACACCCTCCCCAATACGTACACACACACTTTCTCTCGCACGTACATACAGTCTCTATCACACGTATACACACACTCTCTCACACGTATGCACATAGTACTACAACTTGTACTTTACCAAGAAAGGATAATAGAAAATATATTATTAACATGATGTTACGTCCAACCACTTTCAGAAAGGTGTTGTGTATTCCTAATACCAGTCTGTACTGCCAGGAATAGGACCCGACAATCCAGTGATTGATATTAAGATCAACACTTCCGGTACAACGACGCTCTGACAAACACGAGACTGAGTCGAACCAAATCTATTCACAACATTTGGATCACTGAGGTCCGTATTTCATGGAATCATGCATTGCGTCCTGCTTCTTATCTTTGTGTGTTCAATAAACAAAAATAACACTCGGAATTATTCAGCCACCAGCTCGACCGGAAAACCAATGACAAAGCGTAACGTGAGTTTTTGAAGTGAGTATAAAGCGCCTGTTGTTTGGCCGTCACACGTGAAAAGCTTCACGTGGAGCGGGTCTGTTGTAATAGTGTTTGCGTATTTGTTAGTGATTTGTAATCTGTAATCGATGATTTGCCACCCTTGATTCAGGACGTACAGGGCTAAGGCCGACATACATAATTACTGACTTGCTCGGGCACCAGTGTAACTTCTTTTCTTCAGAAGACTTTCCCTCACAGTTAAGCAGCATTTGTTATTTCAATAGACAAACACATACTGGGGAACATGTCGTGGTGAAGTGGCTTTTGTACAGTACTTTCGGGAACAAATAAGGCGTGGAGACATTTCTATATAACGTCATTAACGTATTTAATGTAACTTGTCGGCGCGTGAATATTGTCAAACCTTTTCAAGGTGGACAAAAAGCAGTGAAGATTTGTCTCTGTTAAGAGCGCAATTGCCATCATAAAGTACATACCTCATATTGCATCAATGCATCAGTCATTCCATTGAGTTGCACGTTCATTGAGGAATTATCATGCCCGGCTTCAACGTGACAGATGCACAGTGGTTTAGGTACAACTACAGAAATACATCTACACCGACATGGGCCACATCTACACCGACATGGGTCACATCTACACCGTCATGGACAATATCTACACCGACAACGGCCACATCTACACCGACATGGGCCACATATACACCTACAGAAGCACATCTACACCGACATGGGCCACATCTACACCCACATGGACAATATCTACACCGACAACGGCCACATCTACACCCACATGGACCACAGCTACACCGACATAGGTCACATCTACACCGACATGGACCACATCTACACCCACATAGAGCACATCTACACCGACATGGACAACATCTACACAGACATGGACCACATCTACACCCACACAGACCACATCTACACCCACACGGATCACATCTACACCCACACAGACCAGATCACACCTACATGGACCACATCTACACCCACATAGACCACATCTACACCCACACTGACCACATCTACACCCACATGGACCACATCTACACCCACATGGACCACATCTACATCCACATGAACCACATCTACACCCACATGGACTACATCTACACCTACATGGGCCGCATCTACACCCACATGGATCACATATACACCCACATGGACCACATCTACATCCACATCGACCACATCTGCACCGGTCAATTATCAAACTTTATTGTCTCAATCATTTTACAAATGTATTTCATCCATAACTTTATTTAACCCCGGACAAGGAATATTTCCTATCGGGGGTCTTTAAATATCCCTGTTTGAAACAGACAATGAAGTGACTGACATCATGAGCATCGATCTATAATCGATCTGGGATATAATTACATGCATCAACCCAGTCAGCGAGCCTGACCACGTCCTGTTAGTCGACTCTTACGACAAACATAGATAAGGACGAATGTGACGGAGTGTTTGGTTTCAGATGAATGACAAAACTTTGGAAACAAATTAACAATACTTCGCAGTGAAGGATTGGTACATGCACAAATAGGTGCATACTTCGTCACTGCTCGAATGCAGTCCAGAAGGACACGTGCAGTAACGAATGTCTACATGCAGTAACATTATTCATTGACAACTTGCTGACACCAAAGAACTATTCATTGTCGGTCGACTACGTACATTCACAGTTTAATAATGCAAGCTGTCAGGATATTACATACATGTTGTCTGTTTCCTGCGATTATACGTTCAGTAGGCGCTACTGACCCGCAGAGCCGCCTGATCAAGACAAGCGGGTGAGACAGACAGGTAAGCAGTTCTTAGGATTAACTGAGATTAACAGAGAAAAGTCGATTGATTCTACAAACAAAGCAGGACAACAGGTAACTATGAAGGTCATCATGACACAATATTATGGATATTTACCACAGAACGAAATGTAGATACATGACATTTTATATAGATTTACAGTGTGAATGGTGTTTTATGATAGAATATTGCATCAATACCATAGCATAAAAAACTCATAGAAGGACTTGAGTCCAGAGTGTAGTGTGTTTGACAGACGTAGTAATCACTGCCTATGTTTCTGTCAGGATGTCCTGTACAACCAACAACGCGGATCTGTACGGTGCCTGCTACTCGGGGAGCGTGGATGAAGTCACTCGCATCTTACGGCGAGATGGAGTTGACATCAACACCCGGTGGTCAAACGGCAGGACACCAGTGATGGCAGCAGCAGATGGCCAGCACGTGGACGTGTTTAAGCTACTCCGCCGGAAGGGAGCCGATCTGTCGGTAGTGGATGAAGACAATAACACCATTCTGCATATTGCCTGCGTCAGAAATAATCTCAAAATAGTCAAGTTGATTCTCTCTGAAGGAAATATTGACATCAATGTAAAAGGCAAAAGAGGATTGACGCCGGTGATGTTGGCAGCACGTCATGGGTGCAAACACGTCTACTTGGAACTTGTAAACAACAAACACTGCGACATGAGACTTGTTGGAGATGACGGTGACAACCTTCTCCACCTGGCATGTCTTAAAGGCCATCTGTTTATTGCTGAAGATCTGCTCTCACGTCGGATATTCAATATCAACTGTAGAGGGAACTTGGGCAGGACACCGCTAATGAAGGCAGCGTGGACGGGTTCCAAACGAATTTTCGACCTGATCGTAGAGAAAGGAGGCCAGACGTCGCTGCTGGATGACAAGGGGATGAACATCCTCCACGTGGCCTGTGCTGGAGGAAAGGTACACATTGTACAGCATATCCTCTTAAAACGCATTGTGGGCATGAACAGTAGGAGGAATGATGGAAGAACGCCCTTGATGGTTGCTGCAGAGTATGGACACAAAGACGTGTACAACTTACTCTTACGAGACGGAGGAGACAGATCTCTGGAAGACGTTGATGGCAACAACATCCTCCATGTGGCGTGCAGGGGCGGCAACGGGAGTATGGTGCAGCACACATGTGACAGAAACCAGCGACACAGGGCCCTCATCCATGGCACGGACAGAAAGGGGAGGACTCCTCTGATGGCCGCAGCCGAGACGGGGCACAAGGAGGCCTTTGAGGTCGTCAGGCGTAAAGGAGGGGACATCACCATTAGAGACTGCTTTGGGAACAAGCTTATTTATGTTGCCTGTGTGGGAGGGGATCTACCAATGATAATGCACATCGCTTCACTGGATGTTACGGATGGACTGAATGATGGGAGGATGTTGATCCTTGCGGCAGAGAGTGGCCGTAAGGATGTTTTCGATTTTCTTATGGGTGAAGGATGCGATTTGTCTCTTGATGATGATGAAGAAGATACTGTGTTCCATGCAGCCTGTCGTGGAGGTCATGTGGATATGGTGGAATATGTACTCTCAAGGTTC